GATGTCCTCTGCTGTTTGCACCACCCTCTGTAGTGCTTTTCGGTTCTGACTGGTGCTGACCAGGCAATATATTGATATGTATATTTATGTATGTATATTGCGTTAGCAGTTCATACCTTCCTCAGCCATCTGGAGAAGGAAAACAACTATTTGAGAATGCGCTTCATTGACAACAGTTCAGCATTCAACACCTTAATCCCCTCCAAACTGGTATCCAAGCTTACCACATTGGGCCTGGAGAAGTCCATTTGCTGCTGGATACTGGACTTCCTCACCAACAGACCACAGGCAGTGAGAATCGGCAGTCACCTCTCCTCCACACTAGTCCTCAGCACCGTTACACCTCAGGGCTGTGTCCTCAGTCCACTACTCAGTATTTATACGACTGTACCGCCAAGCACAGCTCTAACATCATCCTCAAGTATGCTGATGACGTCACCATCTTGGGTCTCATCACCAACAACAACGAAAGTACCTACAGAGATGAGGTGAAATCACTGACCAGCTGGTGTCAGAAAAATAACCTCTCTCTAAATGTCAGCAAAACAAAGGAGATGATAGTGGACTTCAGGAAACAGCGTGGAGGCCAGCACTCCACCATCAACATAAAATACGTTGAGGTGGCACAGGTCAGCAGCTTCAAGTTCCTTGGCATTCACATTACCGAGGATTTGTCCTGGACTTTACTTACAGACACTGTGGTCAAGAAAGCCAAACACAGACTCTACTTCCTAAGGAAACTAAAGAAGTTTGGTACGAACACCAGTATCCTCACCAACTTTTATAGGTGCACCAATGAGAGCCTGCTGACAGGCTGCATCACAGGATGACATGGGAACTGCACCAGTCAGAGCCGGAAAGCACTACAGAGGGTGGTGCGAACAGCAGAGGACATCACTGGTAGCAGTCTCCACAGTCTGCATAAAGCACACAACATCATTAAGGGCTACACCCACACAGCTCAAGGACACTTCCATCTAATATCCTCAGGCAGACGATACAGGAGTCTGCCATCGTGTACAAAAGACTCAAGGACAAATATTACCCACAAGCTGTCAGATTACTGAACTCTTGGTAAATAACTGAACAACTGGCAATAACATTGCACCAAGCCACATCTGTGACAACTAATGTGACTAATATTAGCTTGTGACAGCTAATATGTTTACTGTTTATTGCTGCTGCACTATAGGCTGTATCTAGGCTGATATAGGTTTATGATACAATATTTATGTATCTACTTTATCATCATAATTCAATCTCAGTGTCACTCACTACCAATGCAATGATCTGTCACACAACCTGTGTAATATGTTAATTAAGTGCAATATATATATATATATATATATATATATATATATCATGTGCGTTTTAGATTATATTACAACCTTGACATACTTATTAATTCAAATTCATCCTGCTTGCACCATTAAAATTCTACCTTGTTGTTTTTGTTTACTATCTCTCTTTAGGACCTTGTAAATATCATAATTACTTTTTCACTTTTTTGGTGCTTTATTTTTGTACCCTTATTGCATGCTTTAGTATTACTTGTATGTTTGTTCTTTGATTTTTTTTTTAGTGAGTCAAATCGGTTCTTCTCATACTAAGCATTCCATTGTACTGTTAATCTTGCATATGACAAATAAACACAACTTGAACTTGAATGTGTGTATATATATATATATATATATATATATATTCAAAAAATGTGGGTGTGGGTGTGTGGGTATGCATTTAAACGTGTATGTACTGTACATATAAAAGGGTTAAATAATGTCATCTGGACAAGTTTCTTTTTCCTCTTTTTTTTTTTTTTTACTTGTCCAGGTGACATGATTGAACCCTTTTTTTAAATTTATCTGTCTGGATGATTGAGCTGTCATACCTATTAAACATATGTAGAACATTAGTTTATTCACCATTAGTGGCCAAAAAATATTAAGGTATTCCACCAACACTTAGTTTTCCTGGGTTATATCAAGCAGAAGTACATTTAGATACACAAACACACACCCAAAGACTGTCCTTGAACACTGACCTTTGGAGCACATCCCCTGCAGACCTAATCATGGCAAATACTGCGTGTCATTTGTTCGCCACACTCGGACCTGGCTGATGGTACTGGTAGTAATTCACCACTGCTGAGACAGACAACTCCTATGGTGATGTGCCCTGTGCTCATATCTGTGTCTCTCTGCTTAGATCGCTGCAGCTTATCGCAGTTGCACAACAGACTTTGTCTTTTCAGTGAACAGTTCAGAGCCAAAAAATAAATAAATAAATAACAAACTACAACATTTCCTTTTATATTTTCACAAAACTGCTTCATTCTGTTCAGTTTAATCATGATTTTTGTTGTTATATATATTTCTGAAGTCAGATTTATTTATTTATTTTTCTTGCCTCTTTGTGACAGCTCCTACCACCCGCCGCAGACCCGCCGGCACGACTTTAATGTTTATGTTACCACGTGCCTGCTGTTTATAAAGCCCGCCCTTATTTACCCATTGGCCAATCATATGGCTCATTTGACGCAGTAACCAATGAGGAAGCCAATCGGTGTTTTCCTCCTTCGTCACCGAAAAACATGGCAGCGCACATCACCAGACCTGTGACAAGACTTCTTCCACAGTAAGCCTATGTATTTTAACATATTTTATTATGTATTTCCTCTTTTTTTCGTAAAAACTCTACCTGAAAACTGCACTGTACTAATAAATACTGCCCACTTTCTCTTGAGTTCACGGTGGAAGCTTTTATTGCAACAATGAAGTCCAAAACATGTTCCAGGCTTTGTTTGTTTTGAGTTTGACTTTGAAACGCTAGATGTTCAAATTAAACAACTTACAACTTTTGACATTTTGAAGATACATACCAGACAGTAAGTTTATGTGGTGCTTTTTTCTTCTCTGTTTAAATAAAGAAAATAGCTCCAGGACAGAATTATTTTTTATTTAATGGGCGATATGTAGGTACAGCCACAATTAATGAATGAAAAGCATATGCATACTTTTGTTTCTTCTCATTGTGTTGTTTGTAGGATATTGCATTATTCTGTTGAAAAAAAAAATACAATTTTGTTTTCCATGAAAAGTAGCTATAGGCTGTAAAGTTAAAGGTCTAGCTTTCCGGGAACAAATTCATTTCGCCTGTTGCCTTTCATTCGAGTTTTAAAGAAAGATCATCTTGTGATGAGAAATGATGTTTGTAAAGCTGTTTTGGTCCAACCTTGTAAATGATACTTGATCTCATGTGAGAACTCAAAAGATGTGTTCGTTCTCAGAGAAGGCCTAATGTATTGAGTATAACTGTGAGATACTACCACAACAAATTTAAGCTCAGTTTATAGACATTTTTTTGCTTACTAAGGTTGATTTGAAGAAGCGGACATTCTAAATGGGGGTGACTCCAGACAATAATCAGCTATAGATGTACATCCATTGATTACTTTTTGAAATTTTCAACAAAATCCATCAATCCATTATCTTTTACCCGGTTGTTCCTTTTCGGATTACGGGAGGGTCATGGTGCCCACGTCCATCAGTCACTGTGCGAGAGGCAGGGGACACTCTGGACAGGTCTCCAGTCCATCACAGGGACACATAAAGACAAACGAGACAAACAACCATTCACTCTCTCACATCTAGAGACAATTTACAGTTACCAATCAGCCTGTTTTTGGTCTGTGGGAGGAAACCGGAGTACCCGGAGAAAACCCACGCATGCACAGAGAGAACATGCAAACTTTTTCACATCCACATGAGTTCTGTACAGTGGTATTACAGTACAGTCCACAATTGTATGTAAAAAAAAATGGTACAGTACAATAAAGTGGACTCCACAAACCACGAAAGAGTGAGTCCACAAAAGTAGAACCACGAAGTAGTGAGGGACTAATGTGTGTGTGGGTATATATATATATATATATATCAGTATATACAGTCAGACCTGAATCTTCCTTTCTGGGTCGTGGGAGTCACTGGTGCCCCTATCCAGCAGTCAGTGTGTGAGAGGTGGGGAACACCCTGGACTAGGGCATTAACAGAGTACTCGAGTAATCTACACATCGATTGCTAGGACATCTATCGAGGTTAAAAATTTAACATCGAGTATCCGTAGTGACGTCATATTATGTGACCACCGTATGACTGTAGGGGGTGGTGTTGCACTGTTGCAGGTCACAGAGTATGGTGTAACACCGGGTCCAATCCACCGAACCAGTTTCGGTTAAGTTTTGTTTTTGACGTGCTGCACATTTCTTCACGTTTGCAGCTTAATAATAATAACTAATAGTTTAGTTTTTCCTGTGACTTATTTGCAGTATGGTTAATAGTAGGAGCATAATATACGCTCCCAATGTTTTGTTGGTCTTTTTTTTTTTTTGTAAATAATTACCTTTTTTTTGCGGTTTTATTTACTTATTTATTTTTGTATCTTGAGATCTATGACGTCATCAAATGCTCGAGTTCTACTCGGGTTTTATTATGTTAATGTCGAGTTTAAAAATTATATACTCGTTCAACCCCTACCCTGGACAGGTCGTAAGTCCATTACAGGGCATATGTGTGTGTGTGTGTGTGTGTGTGTGCGTGCGTGCGTGGGGGGGGGGGGGGGGTATTCCAAAGAATGACATACTGTGGGACTTCCAGATGTAGACAGACAAACGTGATGGCTAATCAACCGGACATTGTGGTAGTCAACAAGCTACAGAAAAGGCAGTGGTGATAGCTAGAGGTAGCAATCCCAAGTGGCTGTACCATCAGGAAGATTGAGCATGAGAAGCCTGACAAATACCAAGGGTTGAGAGAGGAAATATATAGGTTTTTTTTTAGAGTCAAGGCGTCAGTAGTTCCAGAGATCATCAGATCACTTGGTGCTGCGACCCCCAAACTGGAAGAGTGGCTCCAACAGATCCCAAAAATGACCTCAGAGATTACTCTCCAAAAGAGCACAGCCCTAGGAACAGCTAGGATACTGCGCAGGACCCTTTAGCTCCCAAACCCCTCTGCTAGAGGACCTTCTATGAAAGTGAAGTGAAACCACTCAAGTGGAAGAGTATGGCAAGCTAAAAGTTTTTGTAGGTCTTCAGAATAACGTTTGGAATTTGGAGAAAAAGTTTTCTTTTCCTGACTTGGTCTAAAGCTAACATTTCATCTGACATGGACTGAGATAAAGTGTATTTCCACTATAAAACTTATTCATTTTTAAAAGTTTCATAATGGTTTATGTAAATTCTATTTTATAAACTGTTACATCACCATGAGGTTAGCATTACATAGATATACAAAATTTTGTGGTTGTCTTCATGCACAAATAATGGCAGAAGCAAGTTGCTGTAACATTTTTATTGCAGCCTGGGGACACTTCTATAAGAAACATTGTAATATATCTGTGGGACTTACGGTGCAAAAGTTTCTGTAGTTTAAAAGTTTACGAAATAGTGTTTGCATGAACCTCTATACAATTCTTGAGATTACAGGTCCTTCTCAAAAAATTAGCATATTGTGATAAAGGTCATTATTTTCCATAATGTAATGATAAAAATGAAACTTTCATATATTTCAGATTCATTGCACACCAACTGAAATATTTCAGGTCTTTAATTGTTTTAATACTGATGATTATGGCATACAGCTCATGAAAACCCAAAATGCCTGTCCCAAAAAATTAGCATATCATGAAAAGGTTCTCTAAACAAGCTATTAACCTAACCATCTGAATCAACGACGTAACTCTAAACACCTGCAAAAGATTCCTGAGGCTTTTAAAAACTCCCAGCCTTGTTCATTACTCAAAACCGCAATCATGGGTAAGACTGCCGACCTGACTGCAGTCCAGAAGGCCATCATTGACACCCTCAAGCAAGAGGGTAAGACACAGAAAGAAATTGCTGAACGAATAGGCTGTTCCCAGAGTGCTGTATCAAGGCACCTCAGTGGGAAGTCTGTGGGAAGGGAAAAGTGTGGCAGAAAACGCTGCACAACGAGAAGAGGTGACTGGACCCTGAGGAGGATTGTGGAGAAGGGCCGATTCCAGACCTTGGGGGACCTGCGGAAGCAGTGGACTGAGTCTGGAGTAGAAACATCCAGAGCCACCGTGCACAGGCGTTTGCAGGAAATGGGCTACAGGTACCGCATTCCCCAGGTCAAGCCACTCTTCTGCGCCAGAAGCATCTCGCCTGGGACTGCTGCTGAGTGGTCCAAAGTTATGTTCTCTGATTACAGTAAATTTTGCATTTCCTTTGGAAATCAAGGTCCCAGAGTCTGGAGGAAGAGAGAAGACACAGAGTTCACATTGCTTGAGGTCCAGTGTCAAGTTTCCACAGTCACTGGGGTGTCATGTCATCTGCTGGTGTTGGTCCACTGTGTTTTATCAAGTGCAGGGTCAATGCAGCTAGCTATCAGGAGATTTTGGAGCACTTCATGCTTCCATCTGCTGAAAAGCTTTATGGAGATGAAGATTTCATTTTTCAGCACGACCTGGCACCTGCTCACAGTGCCAAAACCACTGGTAATTGCTTTACTGACCATGGTATTACTGTGCTCAATTGGCCTGCCAACTCTCCTGACCTGAACCCCATAGAGAACCTGTGGGATATTGTGAAGAGAATGTTGAGAGACGCAAGACCCATCACTCTGGATGAGCTTAAGGCCGCTATCGAAGCATCCTGGGCCTCCATAACACCTCAGCAGTGCCATAGGCTGATTGCCTCCATGCCACGCCGCATTGAAGCAGTCATTCATGCAAAAGGATTCCCGACCAAGTATTGAGTGCATAACTGAACATGATTATTTGAAGGTTGGCGTTTTTTGTATTAAAAACACTTGTCTTTCATTGGTGGGATGAAATATGCTAATTTTTTGGGACAGGCATTTTGGGTTTTCATGAGCTGTATCTCATAATCATCAGTATTAAAACAATTAAAGACCTGAAATATTTCAGTTGGTGTGCAATAAATCTGAAATATATGAAAGTTTCATTTTTATCATTACATTATGGAAAATAATGACCTTTATCACAATATGCTATTTTTTTGAGAAGGACCTGTAGTTGGTTTATAATGGCAGCGATTTGTTTTGTTCATGGCCTAGCTGTTGACCATTGTAAGATTTATTCTCCATTTCTCTGGTCTGAGGTCATTCAAAGAGCTATCTACAGCAAGCAGGATATTAAGTGTTCATAACCTGTCCACAGAATCCACTTCAAAAGATGTGCTATATTACTTTTAAGTACTTGAAAGAAAGGCCACCTAATGTTTCCCTGACCTTATTATGCTGCAATACTAAATTTTTGTTTCTACAATTACTTTATACATACCATACCGTACCATACCATATCATATAGGGATGCACAATATTATAGGCATGGTATCTGTATCAGCCAATATTAGTGTTAAATTTAAATATCGGGCATCGGCCATTCCATCAAAATAACTCATCGATATAAAAGTCGCTGCGTTTGTATGACAATCCAGTGATAAGGAGCAAACCTGCAGCGCCAGCACAACGTGAAGACGTCACACGCACCTACCTGACCTGATCACAGCGGAGAGGAAGAAGTAAAAAAGGGCGGTGTGGAAGGGTTTTTTTGTTGTTGAGGATGTCGAATTCCGAAGATTTTTGGACTACGCT